ATGTATATGTTAGGGGGAAATGATGTTTCCTTGTGATACAGAGACATAGTTGCTTTCCAAGTAAGCTTATTTTAACCAAAAGGCAGGAAATTGCAGCATGCCCAAACAATTTAGGTACCAGACCTGACTCAACTCCCCCATTGAATCTCCCACACTTTTAAACTTGCTGGGTCTCAGCAACATCTGTATGCTTTTTTGCCATCACTCACTAGCCAGCACAGTCTCCCTGTGGAGAGTTCTCCCATGTGACTGCTCCTTTAGAGGCCTTCTGACAGCCAAGGAAGTGATTTAGTCTTCATGGAGTCATTCACACCGTCCAGACTTTGCTCAAACAAATGATTTACTCTTACAAAACAACCATCCACATACAAGTCCCTCTATCAGTTTCTCCATCCTTCCTGAAAATACATGTAACAGTTTTGATCTTCCCAGAGGATGCTGCTTTCTGTATTGTCTTCACCAGCCTTCTGTGGAAGTGTCTCTTTCCACAGTGGAGAAGCTCCTTTTAGTAGCATTTTCTAGCATTGCCTCTTCTTGGGTTTTCACCAGTTTCATAGGCTGCAGTTTACTCCAGGTGGGCTCTGCTATACTCCAAATTCATTATACTCACTAAGAGTTATCAGCTAGTCTTTGACCTGTAGTTTCTATTGTCCTATTAAAGATGATGTCTACTGGCCTAATAAAGGTAGATTATTTAGTTCCTGCTCCTCTGTCAGTCAAGGACACCCCTCCAGTACCTCATGGGTTTTTACCGTGCAGTCTGTGGAGAAAGATACCCAGGGTGTAAATCATTTGTGATTAAACAACAACAAAAAAAAAAACCTGAGTGCCTATGCTCAAATTCCTAAAGGTGTCCCATGTGAAACTTCAAAGAAGGAAAGCTGATTTAGGTACTCTGCAAACAGAGTTCATGCATTTAACTAAACTGTGCTGCCAAGCATCAGATGGTCCATGATAACTAACAGTGTGTACGCTCGTAGCTCTCAGCAGAGGTGAGAGGAAATGCAATGAGCCTAAATCTTTTCTACTGGTGTTTAAAGCTAATGTTTTTTATTTCCTATTTGCAGTGGCTTGAGACACAGTTGCCTCAGTTGCATTGATGCATGCCAGTTCATTAAATTATTGCAACTCAGTCACATATCTAAATTTGCTGATAGACAAGTGTAGCTTTTGAAGATGAGTTTTTAAGTGGTTGTAGGAGCCAAGCAGAATTTTCAAGAATTTTCAGTTTTATTGTGGAAGCAAACAGAGATTTAGAGGTCTAAGATACTTGGGTGGTTGGGGTTTTTTGCAAATTCCACCAGCCTAGTAAATACCTCTGCAAGTCTGAGCAGCTCAGTCAGTTTAGAATATGGGATGGGGCCCTTGATCACTTGGGACTTTTCTTGTGAAGATCTCAAGATGTAGATCTGAGTTCTTCTCATTTGAGAAATATTTATATTCAAGCTTAGCCTGAATCCATTCTAAAAATAAAGTGAACAACAAAAAACAAATCTGCACTTGAATCCTACCTCTTCTCAGTCTGAAGCTCTGTTGTCAGTCCAATAATGTGCCACCCAGACATTTTGGGCTGAATTTGTTTGTGCTTTCTTGGTTTTGTGAAGGAGGAGGGCTGTATGGGGGTGGGGGCTGGGGATGTGTGGGGGTAAAGTAATGCCAGCCAATGGAAAATAATCAAAGCCATTAGGTTCGGCTGGAATTTACTTGCTAGCCACACTGAGGTGAACGTGCAGCCCTGGCACAGTGCGATGCACATTGCATGTGCAATTCCAGTCATCTGTCAAGGAGCCCTCAGCTCCTTGAAACTCTTCCAGGGGCCACTGTAGAGGCAATACTAAGGGTCTGCCATCCCCATCAGTGAGAGCTGTATTTATACACTTGGAAGTTTTCTAGAGCATAGCTATGGAAGTATACTGCTGATTAAAAATAACAGCATATTGCAAATAATGAGGTGAAAGTAAAGTTTAGGGTAAATCATATCTCTGCAGAACTGTAAATATTAGCTCTAAGTTACTATAATTGGAGGGTGTATGCCCTGGTCTGCACGTTCAAGAATATGACAGAGCCTGACATTGAGTTGCCTCTGTGGGAGCGCCATCCCTCCAGCTGACCCCAAGGATGGCCTCTCCTTGCAGGACTAGCAGTAGTGGCACAAGCAAAACCAAATGACTGACACTGGGACACCGAATTCCTGCAGCGCTCTCCCAATGGGGCCGTACACCAACCAACCACCTCAGCAAACTTCCAGCACAGTCGGAAAGTGCTGGTTCAACAACAGGCCCACATGTCCTTCCTCTTGTCCCTCAGATTTCTAATAAATTCCTGCCTTGGCCAAAAAGTGTCTTTTTTTTTCCTTGACGAGTATGGGCTAAGTGAACGTTTTCCAATTTGAAACTCTTTCCACCAAGACAGACCTCTCCTGCAGATGAGGTGGGGCCAGCCTGAGCCCACCATGGGTGTTTAGCCCAGTACTGCCCACTGATGATCATGGTGAATGATTCACCGCTGACCTAGACAATCATATCACCTTCACAGTGATTTTAATGAAGGACTAGACAGAAAGCAAGCATAGAGATCTTTGGGAAACGCTGATGGAAAACAGTGAATTCAACATGAATTGTTGACGTAGGCTATGTAGGTTTTCTTGTTAAAGTTATCACAGATTACACAGGATGATGAAAAAAAATGGTAGTTTTTGGAATGTAGCAGCATTACCAGCTCTGATCAACTGGTAAAATATGCCCTGGCGAGTCAGAGCTAGGGTAATCGAAGGAAAAGGAAAATAAAAAAAGGCTGTTAATTTGTTTTGTTTTTTAATTAAGATTCTTGCACTAAAAAATCATTTTCTGTACAGCCTGTCATTGAAAGAGTTCAGGAATTAATTGCACGTGTAGCAAGGAACCACTTACGTGGCCCTTACTACCCTATTATCTGAGCACCTCCCACATTGTTAAAAGGCACAAACCAGTAGAGCAATATAATCTCCCTTCCCTTATTCCTTATAAATGAAGTCTAGAAAAGAAGGTTTTTTCCTAATACGTGGATGTCTAAGAGACTAAGTGTGTGTGTGAAAAATTATTGACGGAAAGGTGATGGAAGAACTGGATTTTGTGAATTTGTGAGAGGAAAGATGATAGAAATTAAAGTGGTAGCCTGCGACTTTCGATTTCACGCTCTCCTGCAGCCCTCCTGCACAATCCAGGGGAAATCACTTGTGTCCAGAGCCGCAGAAGGGCTTCGCTGCAGCAGCATTTGGCATTGCAGCATTTAATTGCAGCCAGCTACCTGCTTGGTATCTGCAGCCGTGGGGTAAGCGGCTGGGCAGGGGCAGGAAGGCTTCTCTCTGTCTGTGTGCCAAGAAGGGACCCATCAAGGCTGGTCATTGGCAAATGCATGCGGAGAATTATTACTTTCTGTCCTGGTCCTAGCTGCAGGTACCTTATTCTGGGTGAGAGGGTGGAAGCTATCACTAAACAACATTCACATCCATGAATGAAAAATGGAAATTGGTTTCATTTTTTAAATTAAACCTCAGAAAAAATTAAAATGGGAATGGACGTTTTTCTGTGAAAAATGTTAGTGAAAACAAGGTTTTCCAACCAAAAAAATCGGACTGCCTCTTTCCTTTCACATTCCTCCTCTTGCAGATGTGACGGATGAGGTGACCATCAGGGTAGGTTCAGCTAGAATGGAAACCTGCAATTTTTGCTACATGTCGTATTTTCAAAACACACTGCTTTGTTCTCCGTAGGACTGGTAAGGAGAGTCTATAGTAAAGGCACTGGCAAACTAAGCTCTGATTTTAGAGACAGTACAGGTTTCAGAGATATTCTTCACAGTTTGAAAATGGGAAATACCATCAATAATGTTAATATCTAACCATTTCAGGTGTGCTAATTAAATGTGTTATTCACATCCCTTTTCAAAAAGCGTTTTATATTCTCATACTGAACATGTCATCATCCCCATTGTACCATGTACCAACCCCAGACAGACAGGAATAGAAAGACAGGGTGACAAGGATCCATTTTAGCACCTAGAAGCTAGGTGCCTTACCTGCCCTTTAACCACTCTAACAAGCCATCTCTCAAGAGGTTGTTACGCATTCAAAATAGAATGCAACTATATGGCCATCAGAGGGATCTGGACAGTTGAGCTATAAAATCCCTGTTGTTTCTGACAGCAGCAGAACCCCCAGCTCTGTGCAATTTGCTTTCCATATTTCATAGCTGCCAGTTACTATGCTGTGCTGCACGCACACACACATTGCAAGCAGGAAGTAGGAGCAGCTCAGCTCTTGGCTTCCCCGGTCTCAAGAGACCTCCATGAAACTGAAAAACACTAAACTAAAACCTAAGTATCTGTTAGACCTTTAATTAGCGACCTAAGGAGTGTTTGCCAAGAGGAAATTTGAATTCAATTATCCAAATAGAAAGTATTTAACCTCTCAATAGCACTCAAGTAATTATAATACTTGGGGTTTTTTTTCAGGAACCTTAAAAAATAAAACAGAAAGCAAATTAAAAAATGGTAGAAGGTGTCAGGTTTATATCATGGAGTATACAAAGGAAAGCTGTAACATTGCCATGCTTCAGACCCCTCATTGTTAGCACAGATAAGGGACTGGAGAGCAGGTTGCAGGATTCTTGATTTCCCCACTGAAACAGCCAGCAACAGTGTCAGGGCCAACAGTGGTAGTTTCATGCACATCAGTACAACAATAAACACATAACTAAGATCAGCAGGTCACCTCATGCCGCTTTTAATGTGATAAAGATGCTCAGTCAGTGTCAGAAGGACTATGACGCATCAGAAGAGGCTGTGTATTCCAGTACATTTTGCAAACATCAATCGATTCCAACCAAGCCATTTGCATTTCAGATTACAGCAGCTGTTTCAGCCCTAATCCCAACTGTCCTTTCACTATACATCCACACAAAAGTTTCCAGAATTAATCCCAAGGAAAAAAAGTCAATATTTTCTTGCTGCTCTCTTCACAGATTGTAGGTTGCTTTGGGATTATGTCTATCAGCTGCTTTCTGACAGCCGGTACGAAAATTTCATCCGATGGGAAGATAAGGAATCCAAAATATTTCGGATAGTGGATCCCAACGGGCTGGCCCGGCTGTGGGGAAACCACAAGGTAAGAAAGCAGTGCAATTTTCCTTCTACGGCACTTACCTCTTGTAACATCACAGGATTCACTTATAAACAGGGTGAAAAGGAAGAAAGCATGTGCATATTATCTACTGCCGGAAAGTTGTAGTCTTTCATTCTACACACATTAGAAATATAAATCATCCAGCCTCAAGCACTAAAATCTATCCTTCATATAGAGAACCTGTTCATTTGGTTTAAGGCATTTAGTTACAAATGCACTTAATTATAAAATTACAAGGAGTGCAACAATTAACGGTCCTGCTCTCTCAAGGCATCTCATTCCTTCCTGAAACCTGATGCTAAGGATGTTCTGGTTAGATGTGGTCTGTAAGCAGCTGTATACTAGATCTTGGCAGGAGCGTTCTGTCTGTGTACCTGTCTGCACCAACATTTGGATTTCACATGCTGTCCTCTGACAGACACCAAATGCTGCAGGTTTATATATTTCTTTTTTAGAGGGTAATTCTGCTCTATTCTCTGGAAAGTAGTTACTGATTTTTGCAGTTTGGGGCTGAGTATGTATAGATACAGCTATATGAGTATATGCATATGAGTATATTCATATGAGTAGCTGAGTAGTGAGCATGGATTTATGAAAAGGAAATCATGCTTGACCACCCTGATATCCATGTACGATGAAATTATTTGCTCAGTGGATGCAGGGAGAACAGTGGATGTAGCTTATCTTGACTTTGGAATGGCTTTTGAGACTGTTTCCCATAATATCCTCATAGACAAACTAATTAAGTATGTCCTAGACAAGAATATGGTAAGGTAGACTGAAAACTGGCTGAACTGCTGGGCTGAAAAGATTGTGATCAATGGCACAAAATACAGTCACCAGTGGTGTTACCTCAGGGATCGATTGTGGGGCCATGTTCATTAATGGATGACGGGACAAAGCTCACCCTCAGCAAGTTCTCAGACAATACAAAACTGGGTGGAGTGGCTGATACACCAGAGGGTTGTGCTGCCATCCAGAGGGACCTGCACATGGTGGAGAAACGGGCTAACAGGAATTTCATGAAACCTAACAAGGGGCAATGAAAAGTCCCCCACCTGGGAAGGAATGACCTGGGGAGGTATGGGACTTTACATTTCCCCTCATTACCTTCCATGAGACCCAAGGTGTGGCACTTTTTTTACTAGGAAGGTGCTCAGACACTAGAGCAGGTTGCCCAGAGGAGACTCTGGAATCTCCATTCTTAGAGATGTTCAAAACCCAGCTGGACACAGTCCTGAGCAACCATCTCTGGTTGACCCTGCTTTGAGCAGTGGGACTGGACTAGGTGATGTCCAGAGGTGCCTTCCAACCTTAACTATTCTGTGATTTTGTATATATGTAGCCTATAATCTTGATAAGGTTGGGATTTTCTCATGTGACTCATGGCTTACAAGAACATCTGTCTTAGAAGTCTTGGGCTGCAACGATGAGAATGGAGAGTTCTGCCCTTACCCCACCCCTGTGCTAATGATCAGGCTCTGCCATCATGTCTCATGTTGGGTGTCGGAAACTGAAGCTACTTCAGACCACTAGCCACTTGGGAAACACAGTGGCCTTTTAGCATGTAAGAAATGGAAAAAAGCACACGTGGTATTTCAGGGGCCTTCCCAGTGAGCAGAGTCTAGATTTTGCAGGGAAAACATTGTCGTCGTCAGTGTTTAAATGCCACAGGAGCTCTTTATGTAGCCTCCCTTAGCAGAGCTCTTGCAGTCAGGGCAAACAGAGGAGGTGTGCTCTTAGGGGGCTTTTTAAACAGGCGGATCAGTCTCATTTGATAAAACCAGGTCAACACTACAAACTTCTGCCTGATCTTGGACTGACAGAGCTGTGCCACGCCAAACTCCTAACATGGAGGCCTACAGAGGCCTATGCTTCTACTAGTTTTGTGTGTTTTGCCCATGGCAAGGCGGATGCTTTATGCTCATGCAAACACGGGTTTGCCGGTATAGTTACCTCTCTGTTGGGAGTTTCTTTGCCAGCATAGTAACCAGTGCTCCTCGTACCAGAAAAATGCTCTTCATGTAGACGTAGCCTAAGGGACTGATCCTGCTATCCAAGTCAGTACTATGGGGTCTGCCCACATACAGCTCTGCCAGTGCCCATCACTTCTGCCTTGTGACACTCAGCTTCAGCAGGGCCATACCTCAGTCACCCCACAGTGCTCTGGCTATGGCCTTTGGGGTCAGCAGCTCCCAAAGTGAAGGAGAGGCTCTGTTACAGAAGCAGATGTACAACCTAATGGACTTCGTGATTTACACGTGTATAACGAGGAGAAACAGGCTCTCAATCTCCACAGTCCTCTGTAAGCATTAACTAGTTAATGGAGGGGAATCCCAGACGAACAGCGCTCTTAGCAGAGATTGCTGACAGATTCAGTCATTAGCCACTGTTCTTACATTTTTGGAAAAGGTGGTTTCATTAAGAACAGGCCTGTCACATCCCACTTGGCATGAGCATCTCCCTCCATCTAATGTCTCCTCTTGTGGTCAATGAAGGCTTTTGTTATCTGTGATCCAAGAAACTGTAGAAAAACCTCACTTGGAATTTCTGTTAGACTTTCTTGCTTAAATTGCCCTGAATGAAGAGAGACCCATAAAAATTCAGTGATGAGGGCTGGAGGGGCAGGATGGGCCTGCAAACAGCAGAAGTGTGGAACATGTAATTTCTTGAGCTGACTTGGTTACTTTAGCTAGCTGTGATAGTTCTGCAGCTCCTTTTGGGGCTTAGGAAGGTTTTAATGAATCATCTCATCACGATTTTCCTTTTTCTTTTGAAAAAAAACAGAACAGAACAAATATGACTTATGAGAAAATGTCCAGAGCCCTACGCCACTACTACAAACTAAATATTATCCGGAAGGAGCCAGGACAAAGGCTTTTGTTCAGGTAATTTTTTCTTTTCTTTGCCATTCCTTTCTACAGACAATTAGTTTTTGAAGATGGAGGATGGAATTGTGTGCGGGATACTTCATTGCCACTGCTATAACACAAGTGACAATGGGCATGTATTTGTAAAAGCTGTCTAGACCAGTGCTTCCCAGCTTTCAACGCAACTGCACCAATTTACAAAAATATGGGCCTGTTTCAATGATCAGTGGAGTCAATAGAATTCTTTTCACTCACTTGAAGCAGGCTGCACCATTGTTTAAGACCTTAGCTAAATGATTCATAGTCTCAGCCAAACTGCTGGAAAACCCACTTCAAATTCACTTCTTGAACACAGCTGCCAGTGAAAGCTAAGCAGGGATCAGATGTTTCCTCAAGTGCACCAGCACCACAGACAAGAAGTGCTGATGACCATGTCTGCAGTGGTTGCTGCCTTCAAGGAAGAGAGGCACCTGCAAGTAGCTGTTCATAAAACCTAATATGTCGGTTTGGATGATACAACCAAGAATTTAGGAAATAGTACCCGAAACAGTGTTAAAGCAGGGAGTTACCTATACAAATTTGAGTGCGGCTGGCAGGGAGCAAGAGTGCTCCAGTTCCCTTCAGACAAGATGAGTGAATCCTGGTGCGTACGTCTGACCCACAAAACACTGAACTCAGACCAAAGACTGCTTTGATGTCAGTGGTCTGGATCTAGTAATGTGCTTGGAAATGATATCAATAGGAAGGCAGTCTTGGAGTTTGTTTTCTTAAATAGCTAACAGAACTGCATTAGCACTCAAACTATCTACAGCTGAAAAGGTTTCTGTGGAACGTCTTGTTTATGTCAGCTCTTAGAAGGAGACTTAGATGGGGGAAGGAGAGTGAAAGGAAGAAGGAATCACAGGCAAAAGCAATTGCATGATTTTAATTTTTTTTGCAGAAAGTTAAAACAAGGTTGCTCCAGCAGCAGCAGCCGTACCAAGGCAGCCCGGATCGCTATGGCCTTGTGTGAAGACTGCGCTGCCCAGGGAATGATGCTGAATAGTGAATGTGCTTATCTTGAAGCCTCTCCTTCGGTGGGGGCACAAACAAAACAGGAGTCCATCTCTTCTCAACCAGGCTGCCTATTTTCTCAAAACTGTAGAAACTTAATACCCTTGAAGACCTCAGTTCCTCTGTCAGGCTTGCCCAAAATTGACCAACAGATTCAAAGGTCACCAGGGAACATAAAACATGAGCGTATAAACCTCATTTCCTTCGGAAACTGGGGGAAAAAAAACACAAAGCATTTTTTGCACAATTCCCAATAAAAACTTATTGATGTTGTTTTCTTAGACCTATTTATATCTGAAGATAAAAAGAAGAACAGCTGCAAAAAATCAAGCCATTAACGTGCCTTTCTTGGCTACTTCTTGCAAGCAGAAAAATAATAGAAAATGTGACTTTATAAGTAACATGCAGGCGGTTGTCATCTGCAGATATCTGTACAGAGTTTTAAGTAAAATGGAGTCAGAAGGATTTCTAATAGGTTGCCTGAGTGTCTTCTATAACAAAAGAGGTCACAGATACTGTTTCTTCATTAGCTTGTAGTTCTGGGTTGATTTTTTAAAATTTAATCATATGCTATTACAAATACCCATGCTTTGAGTTCCTTGATGTGACGTAAAACACAGACCAGAAAGAATACCCAAAGTACTGCGGTGCAGTTCACATCAGCCCATTTCCCACACGGTTTAGGAAACAGAGCAGACAGAAGGTAGGGAGGGCAGTGGGATCACTCTCTGTTTTGATTTCATCCTCACGCAAGATCAACAAGACAAGCACGGGGTTTAAATCAGGGCACAGTCTGGCCCGTAGGCTTTGGTGCCTTTTCACTGTGTAGCCAGGGACTGATTCACCACTTCTGTATGCTAGTTTTTCACCACCATAACACCATTTCTATCAGCAGCGTTCTCCAGCATACAAATGGGAGTGACACAGCAGTGAGTCACAGCCCTTTGGTTTTGGGGTTTTTTTCCTAAATGCATATGTGCACATGATTTCCAAAATTAGAAGGGGTGGCAAAAGGTTAGTTCCAGGCTGCGCTATGCGTTTGCTGAGAGACTCCAGATTTTTCAGACGGCAAGCCCTCAGCTTTATAACCTCAGAGGCAGAAGAGGAGGCAAGTCTTGCCTATTAGCTTTGGCAGTGATTTTTCTGGGTCAGTGACAGTAACAAGGCTCCTGTCAGTTGGTTTTGTTTTCACTGGGGCAAGGATACTGAGCGTATCATCAACCTGAAATAAAATCAGATCCTCTGATTAACACATTTTGTACTGCTGAATGTTAGCCAGTACATCATTAATGAAAGACTGTGAAATTTTGTAACACTTCCAGCATAAACATCTTTCATCCTAATTTCTCCAGAAGTACTTAGGAGTTAGGAAAGTGGTTTGTGTTGAAACTAGGATTTCATCCTTCCTGTGCCACTCTCTCTTCCTACGCCATTAAATTCAGAAAGAAAAAGCAGAGCTTTTCCGTGCTATCTCTGTGTAGTAGTACACAAAAACATCCTGGCAAAGATCAAGACTGCAGACTTGATCTGCAGGCTGGTGGATGTCCTTTCCCATTTCCTACTGCTGCCATGCCTCCCCAGAGGCAGTTTCTGTTTCTAGCCCCCTGCAGACTTACTGCATCAAGACATTAGTGCTGGGAGCCATGGCGTTCATTTACAGAAGATACTGCTTCGTTACAATTAAGCTTGCTACAATTACAGGGGAAGGGACTGTCTTTGCTCACAGTTCCCTAGCCCAAAAGCTTTTTCTTTCAGGGCTTTTTCTATTTCCCAGAGCTTGTTCTGGCTTGGTCCTTGGCTTTTTTCCACCACTGTTCCTTTGGTGTTTCATATTCTCTTCACTCACCTACACACAAGCCTGCAGAAAAACCAGTAGCCCTCTACCTCTCCACAACTTGCAAGTACTTTTGCTTTGAAATATGCCAGCCATAAAGGTCTTTAATGTTTCTGTCACCATACACCATAAATGAGTGTACCTATGGCATACTATCATTGTACATGACAACAGCGATCAATATGGGGCAGAAGAAGTAAATATCATTCTTTGGAAAAGAGTATGGGTTTGGTTCAAATTTGGACTTTCAAGGAGCAGGGGTAAATGCCTGTGACTTTTTGGTTTCCTTTCATGGTATGGAGCAGGGAAGACACCAGTAGGCTGGGGAGAAGCTGGGAAATACTGAGGCATTGGGACGATACAGCAAAGATGTTGAGGCCCGTGAGCTCTACAGCTCCCAAATCATCCACTTGTTTCTCTGGTTTGCAGGTTCATGAAGACCCCAGATGAGATTATGAGTGGCCGAACAGACCGCCTCGAGCACCTTGAATCCCAGGAACTGGATGAACAAATATACCAAGAAGATGAGTGCTGAAGGGAACTGGTGCACCGCCTCTGTGGGTCCATGGGAGAAACATCTGCCCAGATGGCTGGCACGGTTTGGGAGGGGAAGCAACAACACAGAAGCAGTACTTGGGGTCGCCGCTTAGCTTGAAGACCACACAGGACCTGAAGCACCTTAACAAAACAAACTAACAGGCAGAAGTGGTGCTGGCAGAAAAGTAAAGGGGAGAAAGCCTGGACTTATGCACTACTTCACTGTTCCTACAAAGTCTCCCTTGAGTTCTTTCTTTCTTTTTGGTTTGTTTCAGTTTTGGGGGTTTTTGTTGGGTTTTTTTCCCTAATAAACATGCAGTTTGACTTTCCTTATCTCACATAGGACAAGACATCAGATTATGCTTTTTTTTTTTTTTTGGAAGGCTTTCCTATGGAAATAGAGCGCTCTTATTTTCTGTGCAAGTCTCATGACATAACACTGCATAAAACAATAGCATCACAGAAGGGATTTGCTCAAGGGTTCCAGTTTGCTCGGATCAATTTCCATGTGCTGCCACTGGGAAATGTGTTGAAGCTACCAAAAGAATTTACCACACATAACTGTCAAATGAAGAGGAGTCACCCTTCACGTGTAGGCTGGAATATCATCCCAGCATAGCTTGGGCTCACAATGAGTCCTGTGAGTGGCTATTAACTGCTGGAATATGGACCAAAACCAATCACCTAAGTGCTCCAGGGAGGAGAAAAATAAATGTGACAAACCTCTGCAATAGACTGATGTTAACACTTTCCCTCCCTCTAGCAAAGAAGTGATAGAATGGAGCAGGGGGGGAGGGACAGTGGGGACAAATATGTATATATGTGTATATATATAAACTTTTCATGTATATATATATACACATATGTAACCCCCACAATATATCCACCATGCAGGATTTCAGCTCAAAGCTTTCTGTAATGAAGCAGTGGCTGAAGAATCTGTAATTACAAAAGGGAGGGGTGTTTCTTATACCTGTTAGCAGTTTTGGGGTGAAAGGTGAAGGACTGTTCCTTACATCGTAGGGAGAAAGCAAAGGGACCCATCACATGGTTTGCATTACTCAGAAACCTCTCCAGGATCATTTTGTGCTGCTGGCGAGGTAGATGATTCACCAATCTGAAAACTGATGGTAGAGAACTAGAGACCAAATAGCTATACTTATATCTTGTAATTGATTTTGGCTTTGTTTTGGGATTTGGAGGTTTTTTTATGTCTCCCACTACCTTCCCCCACCCCACAGCTCTGCCATCAAGGGAGCTTGTCTCAGCTTGCCCATTTTTAACATGATTTAAAAGACAAGAGAAAAAGAAACCCAACAGCCACGTTGCTTTCTTGGTTTTTGGTTTCGTTCCAGTTGCAAGGTGCCCCATTTTTTTACACCCCCAATTTGGTCTGCTGCACCGAAGGTGCTTTGCATGAGGCGAAGAGCTATGCCTAGTTTGGTTGCAGGAAGCTCTGCAGTCCTTGATGCCCTGTACGAGAGAAACTACTGGCCTTTTTCATTTCACAGTGCTTGGACTCCCATGACAGGAAAGTCTGCGGTGTCCAGGTGTCCAGCAATCCATCATCAGTGGTCTTTTTGATGGAAGGAAGATCTAGCAGCAGAAACAATGTTTGCAAAGGGAGAAGATGTATAGAGAAACCGTGCAGGCATCACATGGTGTCTGGAAGAAAGCACATCCACACCAGTTCATTAAAAACAGAAAGCCTCTTTTATGGGAACGTACATACTAGAAATGGAAAAAATCAATGGGCTAATCTAATCTGTTTCAACCAAAAACCAAGGTACATTCCCATGATAGAGCTTTTATCAGCTATTAAACCAACGCAACATTTGATCTTACTACATATTTAACAAGAGGGTTAATCTATCCAGGAAAAAATGGCACTTGACGATGAATAGTGTCCCCTAAGTTTAAACAGAGATAGTCCAGTCTCACAAAAGACTTAATATTGAGTCACAGGCCATAGAAGGAACAGCTTTGTTAAGGATGTAGATAGGCATCATACGAAGAGGAGAGATTTTTCAGAGCCGGTATCTGATGAGGCATGACAGGGCATACATCTCTCCTTCAGCTTTTCCCAGCCACATTTTTTTATTAAATCATCGTCAGTATGTTACAAGTCCCAGCACACCACGTACTTGAGTTTTTCTGCCTCCGAAGAAAAGACGCAGGAGCGTGTATCAGAAAGATGGGCAGACAACCTGTCACCTCTCTCTGCAGTGACTCTGAAGTCCTTGGAGCTCAGGAGGTGTGAGCCTGGGAGACACTGAAGGACTTCTGTGATCACAGACCTGAAACCAAAGGTCCCTTGAAACCAAGGGGCCAAGGAGTTACTCTGCTCTGTCACCCTGCTCAGGGGCACCCAAGTTGCGGCCATGTCTCAGGAGCTGCGGTGAAGAGGTGAATATGAATGACAGGTGAAGTGTGATCAGACATATCAATGTAAAGAAAGGCTCTTGCTGGTTTCTTGTGTTTCTTAGGATGCTCAGTGGTAGAAAGAAACCAAGTTTGTGCAGAGAACGATTCATATCCTGTACTGCTCTGGCTGTGCCACTTGCATAACTGCATTATTTTCTGTTGCCTGCTGCAGCTACTGTTACGAGATGGTGATGGGGAAAAAAAAAGACAATAGGGACCTTCTATATAAAGTGCTCTGATGAGCCACAGATTTTTGTCATGGCTAAGGTGCACACTGCAAAATACAGAGAACGAGAGACAATCCACCAGTAGAAGCCCATACTCTCACTGTGTATGCTAGCAAAGAAAGTTCATCCTCAGCATTGGGTAAGACAGGAAAAAGCAAGAAATCCTGAAATCACGCATGTCCCATAGGGAAATTTTCTAGGGGCAACTTTGTAGAGGAAATGTTCACCTTTACCAAAACTGCAATCACTTTCACCTGCAGAATCTAAGTCAAAGGGAAAAAAAATTATTTGGTGGCTGTTGGAACCTCTTCCAGTTGACACGTAAAGGACATCTTAAGACTTCTCCACCACACCCACAGAGAAGTTCTCTCAAGGCTGATGCTAGCTGGAATGAAAACAGCCTTTGAACTTGGCATGGTGCAGCAGTGAGTGGTGCGGGTGGTGATGCTGCAGCTGCCAGAACTGCAGGGCCTTGCCACCTGTTGTGGGAGCTGCAGGATTTGAACTGCTCTTGGAAGCAAGTTTACCAGCTAAGACTTAAAAAAATAAAAAAATTAAAAAAAAAAAATTGGGCTAGAGCAGCTGCAGTAGACAGGTGCCCATCTACCTCACATCCAAACGGCAGGTCCATGGCGTGCAAACACAGCAGTAATGTACTGAGCGACAGGGATGCTTGGCTGGCCGTCTGGGCTAGCAAAGGTAATGACTGTCTTTCTACCAACCCTGACATCCGCCTTCCCTCCCCAATTTCTGATTTCCCAGTGTAGAATTTGCCAGCAGCAAAGCAGCCAAACTCTCTGCCTTTGCCACCAAAGTGGGAAAAGGGAGAAAGAGTCTTATCCTTGGAGATACACAAAAGTCGCTTGGACATGGTCCTGGGCAGCTGGACCTAGGTGGCCCTGCTTGAGCAGGGGGGTTGGACCAGATGACCTCCAGAGGTCCCTACCAACCTCGACACCCAACAAAGGATCTTCACACTGTGGAGTTCAGTGGGACCTTCACTGCCATCAGCTTGCTACAAGTCTGAACAGGCCACAGGCCGCTCAGGTAGGACATGCTGCAGTTCCACAGCAGAACATTTTCTTGATTTACATTTGAAACCTTTTGACTGCCTCTCCATCCAAAGAACACTACTGGGGCCCTTTCTGTGAACACTAAGTCGCTGCCACCCTCCCCAGATTTCAAACTCCACGCATGCATCCTCCAGCTCTCTTTGCCAGACTGCAACCGTGTGCAAATCCAGAATGCATCAGTTCGAGGTCTTTTTTTTTAAATAAAATTCTAGTCTGTTTTTATTGATGATGGCTTTTTGGTTTTTTAAGGTGTGGGGTTACGGGACTGAATCAAATGAATGTAACAAAACAAAAACAAACAAAAAAGCCTATTCTCAGGGCCAGTGAGTTGCAAATAATTTTTAAAATGCCTGTAATTACATCATCTCAATAAAAAAATTTAATATAAAAGTGGGAATGCCAAATTTTGTTGGTGCAATCATTGCTACAAGGGCCTTTCTTTTTAAGAACTATGATATCCAAGTATCTACAGCACATACCAGCTGTTTTCAGTCAGGAAAAGAAACCTGCAGGCTTCCCATGCCCAAATGTGTATGAACAGAGCCTGGATCTTCCCTGGGAAGCATCGTTAGGAAAGTTAAGGCTGTCCCTTGCAGTATTTGCTTTGCTGCTTTGCCCTGAGAGATGAACAGAGCACCCCCCTAGTGCCTAGATGGGTGTACCTGGTTCTCCTTCCTTCTCTTGGAGAGGATATAGAAGAAAGAAAATAAAAATAAAAATTAGGTGATGCAATGACTTGCATCTTTTTTATCCTGCTAAACAGGCTAGGTCAAAGAGTTTGAGAGCAAGAGGGTTTTTTTTCTGCAGTATTCATCTTTGCAAACCAGCCCGGAAACGCTGCCCCTAATATGCTGCCCTTCCAGCCCAGGGGGACCTTATTTTCCTGCCCTCACCCCTAACCAGGCCATGCACGGGGACGTCGGTGGCACCAGTGGCCGGGTGCGCAGGGGACAGCAAGGTGAGGTGGCACGAGCCGCTCACCGCTGTCCGTCACTCACTACGGCAGTCCTTGTCTCCCGCGGAGGGGGGCTCGTAGTGCTTGCGGCATTCTGAGGCCCCTGGAGCTGCTCCACGTGGGTGCCAGTGAGCGCCACGGCAAACAGATCGGGTCAGCGAGGCCCATCTGTGGCACGGTGGCCATGTCTGGTGACCTCTCTGGTTGGCGGGCGATGTCGTTCGGATCTCAGCTACAGCTCAGGATGAACCCGTGATAATGTGGCTGATCCGTGGGTTATCCACTCAGCTGCTCCTTGCTCACTGTTTGTTCTCATTTTGTTTTGGTTTGGTTTTCAGTTTGTTGTCTTTAAACCAGAAGGCAAAGGAATAAGCACTAAACAAACCCCTCTCTGAACCAAGACATCAAGCAAGAAGGAAACAAAGTGTGTTGCTCCGTAATTCAGTCCCTTCAGGCCATTTCCCTTCAGTTTAGAAGAGGAAATAGATGTATCCTACACTCTCTCACAGCTTTCTGTGCACTCTGAACAACAGCAAATGCTGCAGATTGAAGGTGTACAGAGGAAGTTCTCAGTGGTTTTGGCTATCGCTCCAGTGAGGATGAGGCTTAGCTCAAGAATTAGTCTTGAGCTCAGTGAGATGTTAGAGAACATCTTTTGGAGGCTG